CAGTGTATGATGTCCCCAGGGCATCTGTGACTGTGTTCTGTGTAGTCTGGGGATCTTTCCAGGGCAAAAAAAGAAGAGACACCACCCATCACTCAGCATAGGTTGTGTTAAGATACTACAGTCACTGTCTGTCTCTGGAAGCATTATTATTCCTGATTATTTACAGAATCCACTGGCAAGTAGTCATGGCAGCACCACTGCAAGCACTAGCATGAAAAGATGTCAACAAGGAATGAAAAGGGGCATGTTTCACAGTGAAAACTGTTTCTTCACTGCAGGACTTTTCAGGACCTTTAATATGCTATTTTACATTTGGATCCATAAGAGAATTTAGAATCTATTTTCACGAAGCTGGACTGGTTCTGTGAAATTTCCTTTGAGAAACACTGGTGTGAGGCCATCTCTTCTTTTCCTCTGCCTTCACACCCGCAAAAATTGCTTCTGGATTTCTAGTTCTTCATTTCCTCTACTCCCAGACACAGCAATAGTGCAAATTATGTTAAAGTATTTATCCTAATTGAGACTGAACTCCTTTGGCCTAGGTTGGTTATAGCCAGGGGCTATCAAAGCCATTTTCTAATATATTAACAATTCTTGACCAAAGCAGGTACACGTGTCCCCAAGCACATGGTGTGCTGAGAAGAGATATGACATGTCCATCAAAGTTTTAAAGGCGTAAACATAAACTCACGTGCCAGGGAAGAAGTACTCCCCAAAGAGGCACACATCTTTAAAATTCATGGAAAATTTCACTCTGAAATTGGCATTTTACTTTTTTTTTTTTTTTTTTTTTTTTTTTTTTTAATTTTTTTTTTTTTTTTTTTTTTTTTTTTTTTTTTTTTTTTTTTTTTTGTTTTGAACTGGGTAACAGAGAGCAAGATCCAAGCACTGTGTCAGACTTCCCTGGAAATGCTACTATAGCTGGGTTTATTTCGTGTGTGTGCCAGAATTTGAAATCACTAAACGCTAAAGACTTGGGGAACATGCCAGTTTAGATTAACTAACTGCCAGGCATTCTCTGAAATTTCCACGTGGGGTTTGCATGATGGATGAACTAACCTTTGGAAAGCTCGGTTTTGACAGGTGGGAGTGGAATTTTGAAGCCCGGTGTCATCAATGCAATGCTCTATAAACCTTTGGAAATAACTCTCCCACACCTGGGGAACTGGAACTGATCAAATTAAAGCTCTTCTTCAGAAGATGTTTCAGTTGTAAGAAACAGAAAGCAACTCTAGCTGGGGGGAGAATGCATGCATTGGCAGGTCTGGGTGGCCCACAGTACTGAAGGAAGAGCTGAGCAACCATTTCGGGCAGGCAGGGAATGGGGCATTCTGGGGTATCTGGAAGTAGGGGCTTATGTTTTTCTTCTCTAAAATGCTACCATTAAGGTAGCTCAGCTCTGTTCTAGCTCCTAAGAGTTAGACTGAGATTGGCTCACCTAGACTGGGGGTTTCCCTTTTGACCAGTAGGCTTGGGTGGGGAGTGGGAGGGAGTTTGCCAGTAGTCATCCCTGGAACCCTAGCCCTGTGTGTGAAGATTTTTTCCAAGGAAGGAAGAGCCTTCCCAAGTGGGGTCAACTCCAGATGTGAAGAGAAAGGAGATAGCTGTGGATGTGAACCATTCATACTGAACTAGAAAGAATGGGACATATCTTAAGTCGTAAGTAATGGGAAGTGAGAGAACGGTGAGTTTAAGGAAAAGAACAGTATCTTCAAAAAGTTAAAGCTGAGAGGAATGTGCCACAATCTTCAGGGAAATGGAGGGTGCCCAGACTACAAGCACCATGGCTTTAGTTAGAAAAGCTCTTTAGGAGAAGGGCCATTCAATAGGGCTAAATAGATTGACAAAAGAGCCAGCTCTTCTGCTTAGATTCTAACCCGCTAAGAAGTCATGTGACCCCTAAAGGAGCCGGCAAACGGCCTGCTTTACATTTGTATGTGACCAATGTGCCAGTTTCAATTAAACAAATTTGGTACCGTCATAGACGCTGCTCATTGTCAACCCAACATCCGTTCTTTAACCCTTTTCCCAAGCAGGTAGAATCTGCCTCCTGCAAGGAGAATGAAAATGCTGGATACTCCCTCTTCCAAGCCCTCTGACTTCTGGGGGTGAACATGTAACATCATTCTAGCTAATGCAAGTAAAGGGAATCTTTCTCAGGGATGCTGGGAAACATTTTCCTCCCTGATAGAGAGAGACCCACAAGTAGAGTTATCTTGTTAAGTAACTGGGCTCCTTTCTTTCAGCCTTTGAGCATGATGGGATGAGGATGAGATTCTTGGGGATGCCGCAGCCACCTTGTGATCATGAGGAGAGAATCACTGGCATACTGAAGATGGTGGAGTAAGAGGATGGGAAGGGCTGGGGGCTTTGAGACCACCAACCCTTCAATTTCTGATTATTTTTCATCTTAACCCCTACTGATTAAGCTTCTTTCACTGGAGTGCATTGTTGGTTGCATTCTAAGGTATCTCAATGGAAATAGTTGCCCAAGGTAAAATCAAACACTGTCATTTAAAATAAAGATTCTTGACTTCTCTTGAAAAAATCAAAAGATCTGGCAACACTGGGCCTGTCTTCCTAACTGGCAATAACAACCTGGAGCTAAAGAGGGTCAGCACCGTTTTCCTGGGGTGTATGCTCTTAGTCCTCCACAGTCTCCACTATTCCTTAATGTCCCCCACCTGCCTCATTCACTGCACTCCCTTCCTAGTACCTGAATATATCTGAGTTTGTGGTTGCTGGTCTCTAACACGGATTTTGAGTAAGTTTACTCAATAAAGGAAGAAAACCTGGCAGCCCACAGCTCCCAGGGTGGGCTCGGGCTCTTCACGCTATGTGAAACATGCTTTGCTAAAAAGGCTGAATTAAGAACCCCACATCCAAAAAGAAACCGGGGTTGAGAAATAAATGTTCTCATTATGACCATTTAATTGGTGTGTTGTGATGTTATATTTACTTCACATTAATAGAGCATGAAATTAAAACATAAGGCTCTGCAAAAATGCCTGCCTTTTGCAAACTGGCTTACACTGTTCATTACGGCTCCTGAGCATCCTACCATTGGCTTCCTATTGTTACATCATTTGTAATTTCAATTAATCAAAGCTTTTATGTGGACAGTCTTAGAATTTTCCATGTAATTATCAGCATTAATAACTCTCTGTTGTTACTTTGCAGAGTGCTTCCTGGCCATTTATCTTTAAATAAAATTATTTATATTAAATTTACACATTATGGTCTAGAATTTTAAGTCATCATTAACTGAAGTATAACCCTTTTCCTTTCCTCCTGCTTTCTGTTACTCAGATAAAATTAGGATCAAATAAGAATATGGGCCACATCAGGAGGGTTTTTTTTTTTTTTTTTTTTAACAAATGATTCTTTTCCTACAATTCTATTTTGGGCTTTATTTTTGAAAACTGGAGTTTTCCGTTATTATTTAATTTTCTAATTTTATATGAATTTTAGCTCAGAATTTAAAAATACGTCTTTTCAATTGCTATGATTTAGTTCTTAAAATATCTCACATTCATCTTTTCAAAGTTGCTTGCCAATGTAACTGCTTTAATTTTTTAAAAAATTAATGGCTTGACTTTGGGTGGAAATCAATTCAAGCCTCCCCCTCTGCTACTCCATCCATGAGACATTCACATGACTTTGTGCCAAAGCCAGTTTGGAAGGACCAGGGCTGGAGAGGGCTGCACTGGGAGTCATGGAGCATGGTCAGTGGTACATGCACTCCAAGGGTATGCCCATGGAGCTTAACAGAAATGGCTGACCAAAGATATTCTGATGCTTCTAATTTGCACACCCAGCCCAGGGTTGATCAGCTGACACTTTAGGTAGCCACTCGAGTCTCTCAAAATGCAGTCTGTTATGCTAACTGCCCAAAAGTGACACTCTTGGCTGGGCGCGATGGCTCACACTTGTAATCCCAGCACTTTGGGAGGCCTAGGTGGGTGGATCACTTGAGGCTAGGAGTTCGACACCAGCCTGGCCAATGTGGTGAAACCCCATGTCTACTAAAAATACAAAAATTAGCCAGGCGTGGCTGGCACCTGTAGTCCTAGCTACTTGGGAGGCTAAGGGATGAGAATACCTCGAACCCAGAGACGGAGGTTGCAGTGAGCCAAGATCGCACCACTGCACTCCAGTCTGGGTGACAGAGTGAGACTGCATCTCAAAAAAAAAAAAAATAGTGACACTCTGGATAGCATAGATGCATCACCTCATAGCATCCAGGCCAAGGAATCTGAAGAACCACATGGTACATCCAATAGGCACTAGATGAAGGCAAAGAGCTGAGGGAGAGACACAGCATATTCCTGATTCTGTTCTTGTACCTTCTACCAGAGTTCTATCATGCTGAAACATTGCCCGCCAGCTAGGAACAGGAACATGCCACCACTTAGAGAATCCTTAGAGCAGAGCTCTGCAAAACTCAGATCCTAAAGGGGAAAAACTCTCAGACTGAAGCTGCTTCTTACCTCCAGTGGCCACCCAGCCACTCCCTTGAGATGGGCCCCAGGCATGAAGTTTCTGATCTGTAAGATGAGTCACACTACTTCTTGTAGAAAAGCCAAGTAAAGCCCCACTCCCCCCAAAATTCACTGTATGAGGTTGAGCTACAGAACTGGTTCATAAACTTAGGCTGAAAGATGGGAAGGATTTTGTGCCCCCGAACCCTTAGCGAACTGCAGTGACCTCATTCCCCACACATGCTCTCATGCATCTTCATGCTTATCATGTTTGGTGGAGGTCTGTGCATGAAGTTATTAATTTTATTTGCTTCCAGATTCAATGATTCAAAAGCCCTGGCAATTCTCAAGCTGTCACTCAAAGTTTCAAATCTATTTTAGACATGAGGTATGAGAAGCTGATGGCTCAGAAAGGTTCTGAGCCTTTGCTTCCAAGCTCAACGCCTAAAATGACCTACAGACAGAACTGGCTTTGGGTTACTGCATCTCCAAATGACTTGTTGCACTGGGGGGCCAACACCAAGTCTTCCAGGTGGGAGGTTTTATTATGTTTTACAACCATGAAAACATAGGAAGGTGGCTGTTACAGCAAACATTTCAGATAGACAGATCGGCCAAGCTCCCCAACGCCCACCTTCGCATCCTCTTCCTTGCATCTCTGAGATTGTTCCTGGTGTCCTTCACTTGCAAATTCAAGAATGTTGAAAGTAGACATTTAAAGTAGCAGGAACACCATCAGTGAAACAGAAGCAGAAGTACGATGACTTTGAGAAACAACTGATGAAAAATACACTACAGAAACCATTTCTATTGTGTTATGATGTCAGGGTGGCAGATGGCCCAGGGCTTAGCGTCCATCCTCCCAGGACACTGGTCATACGGGGCCTTCAGTGATCCCCTCCAGAGGCAAGCTGGGTGCGCTGTCAGCTGTGGGCCTCTCCTCTTTCTTCAGTGAGGCTGGGACTTGGAGACTAACGTAGGGTTTATGGCAAGCTGTGTTGGCCAGAGGAGGATAGTGCTGTCTGTAGCAAATGTATGCAAAAATGAGGCCGATGACTCCGCCCACAAAGGAATCTAGGCAGGAAACAGCAGAGCGGGGAAAAATGCGTTACTATTTTTTCATATGCGGCCAGTTACATTTTCCAGAAAGCACCTTTCCTACCTGTTCTAGGGACTGGTTTGCTTACAGGACCCCCTGAAAGACTAAAGGAAAGAGAAACCATGGTGGTGGGCTCTGCAAACTGCCATCATTCCTGGCACTTAACCACTTAAACATTAAAAAATGAGTTCTTGCTTCTTTTTTCCCTGTATTGCTTTTTGCTTTTTTTTTTTTTTTTTTTTTTTTTTTTTAATATTTTTTTTTTTTTTTTTTTTTTTTTTTTTTTTTTTTTTTTTTGAGAAAGAGTCTTGTTCTGTCACCCAGACTGGAGTGCAGTGACACGATCTCGGCTCACTGCAGCCTCCGCCTCCCCGGTTCAAGTGATTCTCCTGCCTCAACCTCCCAAGTAGTTGTGATTATAGGCACACACCACCACACCCAGCCAATTTTTGTATTTTTAGTAGAGACAGGGTTTCACCATGTTGGCCAGGCAGGTCTCGAACTCCTGACCTCAAGTGATCTGCACACTCCGGCATCCCGAAGTGCTAGGATTATAGGCGTGAGCCACCACACTGGCCCTTCTCTGTATTTCTTTAACTCACACCTGAGCATTGCATAAACTCAGATTTGTATTCCTGATTTTTGAAATCAATTCTAAATTCTGGAAGAAGAATTCAACCCATCTCTGTAGGCTCTAAATCTCTCGGGAGCTATAATTCTTTTTCTTTAGTAAGTTCCCACCAGAGTCCTGTAATGTTGCTGGTTTGCTGCAAAAAGCCAGCAGGTGCACTGGTTTCTGCCTCGTGATAAGTAATTTCCCAGGGATGAAATGAACTTTCTGAGTCACAGACAAAGTGAATAAAACATTTTAAGATATGCCTGTGTTGACAAACTCAGCAGACCTCTGGCAGGAAGGGCTCAATTCTCTAACACCTAACAGATCTTACCAACTGGGAGGCAAGGGCGGAGCAGGCAAGGCAGAAGGGTGCATCTGCAGGGAATACCAGCCCTCCACCCTAGGGCAGCCCCTTGCCAAAGAGCACATTCAGGTAGTTCTCAATAGAGACCTCAAAAAAGCGGCTCACACCAGCAACCCTCACTTAGTATCTGCATGTGTGTTCACTTTAACTGTCTATGGGTTATTTTTGCTAAAAAGGTTCTAGTCCAGTGGAAAATCTCCCCTAACAAAAAGATTTGGAACTCTTTTAAGGTTGCTGTCAGGCTGAACTGCAATTCTCCGCTGGGGGGGTCTCCAATTTCACAGTTATTATTGAATTGTATAGACTTCCCATAGGCAGGCAGGATCAGCCTCATTTTCCCCGAAAGAATTGGGCTTGAACCCTGAAATCCTGATCCTGCAGTTGCACTGATCCATGGTGCTGTGCTCACACCCTGGCATGTTCATTCCAGGCTTGATATCCACATGACTCTCTGAGGTCCCAGCCTTCCGGATGCAGCAGGCCATGGCCTGAAGGGTGTGTCCACCTGCATTCAGGTAGAAGGCAACAGTTTTTCTGAAGGGTCAGTGCTCAGGGTGATAATTTTCCCAACACTTCCCAGTGAGCAACACACTGTATAGAGACTTCAGTTTAACTCACAAACTAATGTCCCTGTGTCTCCTGTAGGCGACATTTTGAATGGCTGTCAAGGAAATGTATCTTTCAAGAAAACACGCTGTTCAATGCTTAGAAACGTGCATCATGCCTATCAGTCTTTTTGCGATCCTGTTATTATGTATCCTGGTTCTATCTAGATCTAACAGGATAATTTCTGAGGACAGGGACAATATTTTCATATTTCAGTGCCTTTCACAGAATTGCTTCTACTGTCATCATTTCTATGAAGCTCATAGTAAAACATAAAAGGTTCCATAATGAATAGGTTTATCTTCTTTAAAATAAATTTGTAATTTCATGCATGTAATTTTATTAATCTGCAATAGCAAAGCAGGAAAAGTAGTATAAATAAAAGAAAAGCTCTTTTATTTTAGACATGTCTGTGATGGTAGCATAAGCTTTCAGTACATGCAGACCAAGAGCCCAGTCACCACGCTGGAGCTGGACTTGGGACACAGCAGTTGACGATGATCTCTCAGGAGCAAATAGGTGCAGGCATTCTCCTGCTTGGCTGACTCCTTCCTACTGCTGTAAGAGGACAGCCAAGCCCCTGTGTCATTCAAGGCTGCAATCCTGGCCCTGCCAACCATCCCAGCCATTTCCCCTTCACCCATCCTTCCAAAGCCATGGGCTTCCCTTTTGTTCCTCAAATACATGTGCTTCTTCCCCTCTTGGAGGTCCACATGTACGATTCCAATCCTGAATTCCTAGGAATCCCTTTCTCCTCACACCTTCCCTTAATCAATTTCTTTTCATATTTCAGAGCTCAACTCCATATCATTGTGCAACATAACCTCATGTGATCCCCAGGCTAGACCAAGTCTCCCAGTTACACAAGTTAATAGTCCCTCCCCACTCCCTGTGCAATCAGGGTGGAGAACAATGACACACTGTGCGATTGTTTAATGTTTAATGCTGGACTCAAAACTCTGTGTGGGTTGGCTGTTGGTTCCTTCAACAACTTGGCCAATACCTTGTTCAGAGCATAATTATGTTTGTTGAGGGAAATGGATACATAGCGGCTCAGGGTTAGATTGGGTTGTGGTCCTGAGTGTTTTTGGGTGTGCCCCTTTCCCATTCTGGTCCTCTTGATGACCTCATCAGTAACATATGAGCTTGGAACCACAAGTGCAAGGCGGCTAGGATGCCTTGTTATATAGATGTTCCTGGAATTTGATCCTGAGTCAGCCTACCGAGGCCACATATCAAGATTATTTGGAGACTCTACCAAGGTGCACTTAGAAAATAGGTCATATCCCCTAGCACTTGGGAGACCAAAGAGGGTAGATGGCCTGAATTCAGGAGTTTGAGACCAGCCTGGGCAACTCGAGGAAACCCCATCTCTACTAAAAAATAAAAATAAATAAATAAATAAAAATAGTCGGTCATGGCAGCACGTGCCTTAATCTCAGCTACTCCAGAGGCCAAGACAGAAGAATTGCTTTAACTCAGGAGGTAGACGTTGCAGTGAGCCAAGATTACACCACCGCACTCCAGCCTGGGTGACAGAGCAAGAATCTGTCTCAAAAAAACAAAAAAAGAAAAAAGAAAAAAGAAGAAAACAGGTCATATTCTTTTCTTGGTTGAGGTAAAATATCATTTAGAAACAAAAGTCATTCTAATTGGTCAAAGGGAGAGACCAAATAATTGTCACTGCTTTCTCCCCATAGGAGTTCAGACTTAAACAACTGATGAACACAGTGTCACGTCATAGTAGCTGTCTGGCAGAAAGGCAAGGAATACAAATTTGTGTCTGCTCAGACTTGGTGAGCAGCCATCAGGGTAGGATAGGATTGGAAGACAACAGGGAAAGCAGGAGGCATTCCCAAGAATGAAGAAGAAGAGGAGGAGGCAGCAGACCCATCCCCGAGAGAAGAACTGTTGGCCATTTGGAGGCTCCTGGGGCTGTGGTAAAGTAACCACCACTTATCCTCATCCCGACCCAAGAATCTGCCATGCTGAGAAATCCTAAGGCTAAGGTGTTGCAGTCCCTATTAGGGCAAGCTGCTTTTCCTCTCTGAGTTTCCTTATCTCTCAAATGTAGCTCTCAATATACACCTCATTGAGTTGTGATGATAATTTAACAATATGATCATTTGATGATAATTTAATAAAATGATCACTTCATGAAGTATGCCAAATAGGACATAAAAATAGTATCCATCCTTGTTATCCTATGCCATTCCTCTCACATTCTACTCCAGAACTGCTGAAGGCTTTTTCAACCTCCGCTGTCCTTCTCCTCACACACAGCTCAGCAGTTTACAGTTCTCTCCTCTTTGGCTACATTTTCATAGCATTGTAAATAAACCTCTAAGGAACTTAAAAACACATTTGTCACCCAAGAAATATTCTGGAGCAGGGCCACAGGGTGTAATTAACATGATTAAATAAAGTTGCTTAAATGAAGAATCTCTTCACTAGCCTATAGCCACCAGCCTGTAAAATGTGCTAGGCCTTTTTCTAGTTCAAGGTCTTAGAGTTGCATGATTGTTAAGTTTTTTCTCTAACTGCAGGAAACAGCCCCCTGGGGTATTTTTATTAGCATCTAAAACGATCCACAACATCTGCATTTGAGCCATTGACTAAACAGACCAAAGGGCAAAACCTACAAATAACACTCCTCAACATTCTATTTTCTGCAGCATAGCATCTCATTAGGTGGATCATTGACCAAAAGACATCAAACCATTCCAGGAATGTTTCCCAGACTTACTGACATAGCAGCATGCATGGAAATGACAATTCCTGCCAATTCTGTTTTCCCTTTTAATGGAATGAGTGAAAAGTGATATCACAGGTGCTATGGGAGTTATCAGAAGTAACAAGGGCAATGAACAGTCTCCCTAAGCTGCTTCTCAGCAACGTCATTTTTGGGCTGTGTTTATTACAAAGGTTGTGGACAAGATCCACCTTTATAATAGCACTTGAAGGAGCTTGTCATCAATTGCCTCAAGTGGGCCACTACTATTTTAATAAAATCACATTTGTATCCTTTTGATAGACAAGCAATCAGGGGGCAAGAAAGCCCTTCTTGGGGGAAAAACACTTGGGATTAACTTTGCCCCAAATCAACTGGAAGTCTCAAAAGGGAAATAAATGGATCTCCATGTCTTTGAAATCCAAAATACTTCTGTCTCCTTACTTAGAACTGATGTCCTTCATTTGTACACATGCACTGCATATGTATCAGGTGTCAGACATGGCAGCCAGGCCTAGGGCACAGGCTGAATAAATGGGACAAGTCCCTGCTATCCCAGAGTTTTCAGCTATAGGGCAAGACAGACACTAAACCATGACAGCCTTACCATCTATGATAAGCACCATGAAGGAAACAGGTGAGGGTCTGTGAGCTTCCC